TTCGTCCTAGTAGCTGCTTCCATAGGAGAATAACATGGATAACACATTGGTTTAGTTGTTGGTAGGTAATGCTTATCTTAAGTCAAGGACTTTTTCGGCTTTCCATAAGAGCTGAGGGCAAGCACAGACAGGACAAGTTGCCAAAGGAATATCCCATACCACAGACACCATGCCCAGTGTATAAATATTCTATACCATAGGCACCATGCCCAGTCCATAAATGGGGAATATTCTATACCACAGACATCATGGCCAGTACATAAATGGGGACTGAAGGTAGGGAAGGGATCCGCGATCGCTGCTGGGAACGGATTGGGCAACTGGTCATTGGGTGGTGAGCAATGGCATTGCATCTTTCTCTTTTACTATTATTGTTACTATTATATTCTCATGCATTACTGTTCTATTAAACTGTCTTTATCTCAACCCACAAGGTTTCCTTTTTTTCCTCCCAATTCTCCTCCCCATTCACGAGCCTCCCCAGTGAATGGCTCCTGGTCCTGGTTGCCACTTGGGCTTAAGCCCTGTCAAGGGGAGAGGGGCAGAGCCTCTCTGGTGCATTAAGGCTTCTCCAGGGCTACTCTGCTGTCATTCAGAGTTATTTTTATTCATTTTTTTTTGGGGGGGGGTAGTAGCCTGGGTGCAGTCTTAGCTAAGAGCTGCCCGTGCATATGTCCATGACACTGCTGTCCAGGTTTGTACCTCCAAGGGAGCCAACTTCTGTTCTGAAGAGCTGTCAGTAGCCCAGAAGCGATAAACCCAGATGGGTTTGAGTTGACTTAATGCCCTCTGGTATCTCCATATTGTCTCTCCTTCCTGTTCCTGATGTCAGGAATCTTCACCCTCTTGGTTTTGGTGTAGGCAGAGTTAAACTCTGCCAGACCTGCCCCTGCCTCTTTGCTTTGGATTGAGCTGGCTCTGAACATCTGGAGCTCCTTTTGGTGTGCCCCAGCAGGGCTTGTGTTCCAGAACAGGCTGGTCCTCCAAAGAGGTATCGTGGATGTTGCTCATCCCAATTGATTCATGGTCCACATGCACTGGATGCGGATGGTGAAGAACTGGCAGTGGTTTTGTGCAGGAACTTCCAGATCCTTTGCTTCTGTTTCTCTTGGGCTGTGGCTGGTGAAAATATTTCCTTTCAAAAAATAGTTGTGTTTATCAGAAGGCAGGGATGTCATGCAGTCTGAGCACCCTTGCTGTGAAGCTGCTTGTGTTTCTGCTACGCCTGAGCAGTCTAATGGTTGGAAGGAGCTGAAAATTGTTGCTTCTAGAGTGTTTGTGTGATTTTGAGATGATCAGTGAGATGTAATAACAAGGAAAATAGATCATCCTAACGGGATTGCGTGGGTCAGTTATGAACAGATGCTGGAGGGTGAAGATGGGAATCTCCTAACCCTGTGTGCACCATGGCTGCAGTGGATGTGTTAGAGACAATCAGAAAAAATGATGGTGGTAGGTTTGCATCCCAACAGATTTTTTAGGCTAGGTTAGCTCAGAACCATCAGACTAAACTCCCTCTGAAATATGGGATCATTGAACCAAATTGTAGGAAAAATAACACAGATTTTTAGCCAAGATCTGTTTAAAAAGATTCATTTGCACTTAACAGCTTGTGAGTATTAATCTGTACAGTTTGGATAGAACCAACTTCTGTCCGTTGTCAGAAGGCCAATATTTGGGCAGAGTTAAATATGCTGAAATTGTGTCTTGGCCCAGAAGGCAAAGAAGCCAAGTGGTGAAATATGCAAGAGCCAAGAAGCACTCTGGCTTCCAGTGAGATTATTTTTTTTTAATGGTATGTTTTTATTATGTTTCTTCTTGTTCTAGCTTTGTAATGAAATGTGTACTTTTGTACTCTGCCAGAATAACTTTTTTTTCCCCTAATATCAGAAGTGTCCCATGGGGATCTTGAAGGAGCTGGACCTTTTTCCCCCAGGGAGCAGCAAATTTTTGGTGGTGTGTAAGGATGAGCTCACACAAACTTGCATCCAGCTGTATTTTGGGGTTCTCGGGAGATATGCCCTTTCCCATCAGTCTGGCAGGATTTGTTTTGGTGTTTGTGTCCTCCTTTCAGCTGGGACAGAGTTCATTTTCTTCCTGGTAGCTGCTGTATTTTGGATTCCCAATGAGAAGAATGTGGGTAACACGTATTGTTTTTGTTATTGCTAAGTGATGTTTATATTAAGTCAAGACTTCTTCAGATCCTCACAGGAGCTGAGGGGGGACACAGACAGGACAAGCTGCCAAAGGGATATTCCATGCCATAGACACATGCCCAGTACATAAATGGGGAATATTCTATATCATAGACACCAAGCCTAGTATATAAACGGGGAATATCCCATGCCGTAGACACCATGCCCAGTATATAAATGGGGAATATTCTATACCATAGACACCATTCCCAGTATATAAATGGGGAATATCCCATGCCATGGACACCATTCCCAGTATATAAACGGGGAACTACTTCTCAGGCACTGTGCTGGTTTGGGCTGGGATAGAGTTTTTTTCACAGTAGCTGGTATAGGGCTGTGTTTTGAATTTGTGCTGAAAACAGTGTTGACAACACAGGGATGTGTTTGTTATCGCTGAGCAGGGCTGACACAGACCTTTTCTGCTCCTCACCCACCAGTGATGGGCTGGGGGGCACAAGGAGCTGGGAGGGGACACAGCAGGGACAGTTGACCCCAACTGACCGCAGGCCTGTACCAGTGTATTCTGCTTTTTTGTTCATTGTTATAAGCTTTACATAGGCAAAGGCTCATCTTGGCACAGTTAAACTGAAGGGTTTGTAGGTAATTAAAACTAATATTAACTGATCTGGAAGTTCTTTTTTAGCAATATTTGATTAAGATTAATAGATATACCATAAGTGGTACCCTGGCAGCCAGCTTATAATTGTTCAAAAGATGTTTTTTAAATCAGCCTTTCTGTGTAACACGTTGGGAATGCGGTGTTACACTTTTTTCAGGGCTTTGCACTGGGGATTCACGGGGGACAGTGGTGGTGTTGGACACTTTCTCAGGGCTGGATCTAGGAAAGGCAGCCAGGTTCATTAGATCTAATGACCCATAGCCTACTCTCTTTAGTAATAAACACTGTCCCAGTGCTATAGATAAGGATAGCGGAGAAAACTTGTCTGAAAGGGAGAAACTGGCAAAAGGAAGGGGGGAATCTTTCACGTGTGACTTGTTGTCAAGTGGCTCAAAAGTCATGTTCATGCCAAGGCTGGCTTGGGAGGTGTTGAGCTGATGTAGAGCAACTCCCTCAGACAGCGAGTAGAGACATGAGAGAAAGGGGAAATGTGTAGTTATGTTCTATTTTGTCTTTGATATTGGATTGTTAAGATAAAGTTATGAAAAGTCTAAAAGGGTTAGGTCATGTTTAAAATCACTCTCAGCATCCCAACCCTAAAGCAGTTCCAAAGATGAGCTTGAGAGGTCTGTTAGGTATCAAAAATCATGGCTGAATGAAGGTTGATTTATTTACGTCACATCGTAATCTCCCTTTTCCCTCTGAAATTCCACAAGCAGTAAGTAAGATGCCTCTCTTCATCCGGGGGATAACCCTACCAGCCTGTCCCTATCCTCATTCCACCCTCTTTTAGGGCACTGAAGCAGTCACCACAGTTTAAACCTCTCATTACCTGCATCCTCAAACAGCTGCCTACTCTGCCACTGCCACTTTATATCCATAACTTGGTTTTAAAGCTATTTAAACCTTGCTGGCCTGTGGCTGGAGAGCCAGAAGGCTGCAGGGTGTCTGTTGGGCTTTCTCCTCCAATTTGTAGGCTCAAGTGCTCAAAGTCCTATCAAAAGACCAACGCAGTGCCATTTTTTCAAATGCAAGCAGGTGTTACCACATGGAATGGTAATTTGTGCTGCCCTGGCTTGTCTGCACTTCTAATAGGATACATGTCACTTTGAAAGCTGGAGCCACTTGTGTCCAGGTTCTACAGGTGCAGCAAGATGTCTCATCAAGCCGTTGTGAAATGTCTGGTTTATCTGAGCTATCTTGACTTTTGAGGTGATTTTTCTCAAGGGTTGCCCATGGAGCTGTAACAGCTAAATCTCTACCGGTTCTCTCCTCCCCCAAGCACGTCAGGTTATTGCTTTAGATAGGTGTAAACATAGCAAGTTGCAACACTCCAATAGAAAAAATGTGCTTTTAGCGGCTGCTGAAACTGCTGAAACTCAATATATTTGTTCTTATATAGACAGTTCTGCCAGCAGAACCATAAACAAGTCCTGATTATTACTTATGTCTTAAATAAGTTGAAAGTGCCCCGAATGACATACAGAAAATAGCTTTAAATCTCCTTTTTTGTGTCACTGCTGAAATTCGGTTTTTAATTTTAGCACCTTAATTGGGACTACTCAGCTTTGGAGTTAATCCTACAACTGAAGAACATGGGAATAAAACTGTGACCTTCTGTTTGCTGATCCTGTAGTCTCTGAGGCCGTGATTTCGGGGTGGTAGTGGTTTGTTTTGAGCTGGACCATGGTAATTACAGAAGGGATTGTTCTAATACTTGCGCCGTAATTATGATTTGCCATTTTGATCATAATTATGATTTGCCATTCTAATACTTGTGCCATAATTACGATTTGTGGTTTCTTTTTTGTCCGTTAATGCCAGAGTTTTTTTGCTGTGTTTACCTAGGCTGCCAAAGTTGCAAATATGCTTAGAAAGAAAAATCAATGCAAATCCAGCTAATCAATGAATATGCATCTTTCTAGGCACAAAGGGATCATGGTCAGGTCATGGCACAACATTTTAACTTTTGAATGTTTAGCTCCAGCTTTGGATGAAACAGCAGGGAGCATGAAATAATAGAGTGAGCGCTTCCTCCTCTTGATTTACCTGGATATTTGCCTGTGTGTGTGTGGTGTGTTCTGGGGGGTTGAGTATTTTTTTTAATTTGCTTCCATAAGACAGGTTTTAGTTTTCTTGCCCTGTTGTGTGAACAGGCCTTTTCATTTCATTTTATAGGAGGAAAATGGCCCAAACGACCGCCCCAGCAACGTCCATCCATGATGAGGACTCCTCTGAAAGCAGAATGGTGGTTACGTTCCTCATGTCAGCACTTGAGTCAATGGTTAGTAGAGAAGTTAAGCCAGTGCCTCGTAACTTGGTCTTGGCACGTGTGGGATTACACCAACGTATTGCCTCCCGCTGGGGTGCAGGAGAGATGTCATGTTCTACCTATGCCTTATTGCCTGCTGTCCCACCAGCTCTAACTCCCTCTTTGCTCGTGGAAAATCCTGCTAATGGTCCTCGCAACAGTCGTCTTGGTTCTCGTTGCACTGTGGCTGTTTTGAAAATTTGTTTGTGGAATTAAACAAGTGGGAAATATTTCTTGGTTGCTCAGGTGGAGCGTGGTTGAAAGGCAAGAGTGTGTCCTGGTCTTTGTCATCTGTAATATGGAGTAAATAAATGGCCTTGGGGCTAATGCCTGGCCCTCAGCTGCTGCACCAGTTCAGCAAAACTTGTTCAGAAAATACTTTTTTTATTAAGTTGACGTATCACCTCTTTTGCAGAAGTTATTTAGTCATTGTGTGGTGGGGTTTAAGGTTGGCCGGGGCTGGGAGTGGAAATGCCTGGCCCATTCCCTCGCAGTTGAGGCATTTGGTTCTTTTAAGATTGTTTTCTTAAACAATAAGTAAACCCAAAAATTTTCTTTTTAGCAATGAAACTTTGAATGGGGTGGCTATAAAATAATTGATTGCACACCTTTTTTTCCCCAATGGGAATATTTGGTTCCTGAAGGCTTTATGTGACCTTTTCCTCTCATGCTGCAGTTGTTGGTGTCTTTATAGGTTACACCAAACTCTGGGTTGAGTTCCCAGGACAAGTGACTTTTTGTGACCTCTTCTTGATGATCTTCTGAATTTTCTTCAGATCTTTGCTCTCTCCTCGAGCCTCGGGCTTCCTGCTTTACTTCTTGGCCAGGAGTTTCTCCCAGCAGAAGACATGTAGGTGTTGAGGGGGAGGGTGCAGTCCTTCTGCTCCGGAGGAACCGGCCTGAGCCCAGTGGGCAGGAGGAGGCAGGAGAAAGCAGAGGGCAGGAGAAGGCAGCGGGTAGGAGGGAGCAGGAGGAGGCAGAGGGACATCCTCCTTCTGGCATAATGCCTTTCCCAACAGCCTGTGATAACTGTGTGCTTTGCATGAGCAAAATTCCCCTTGAAAGTCGGGGTTGGTGTAAGACACTCGATATGATTATCCAACCGGGAAGGGATAATTTCGCGTGGATTGATGTCATAAATCATTTTAATTAAAAACAGTGCAATCTCTTGGTCTAGACGAGGCCTTAATTTCACTAATGCATCTACAATGCTTTTAAGACTCCTGATGAAAAGCACTCCAGATGTATAAATTATCTTTTGCTAATGGCTGATGTTACGTTTCTTGCAGTACCTTTGAAGGGTGGATGCTGGAACCAGAAGTAATAACTGTTTTACATGATACCACAAACATTTCTATTAACTCTACTCTTAACTACAGTAATAAAAGCTTTTTGTTTTTCTTTTTATAGTGTAAAGAACTTGCCAAGTCCAAGGCAGAAGTTGCCTGTATTGCCGTATATGAAACAGATGTGTTTGTAGTTGGAACCGAACGAGGAAGAGCCTTTGTCAATTCTAGGAAAGATTTCCAGAAGAATTTTGTTAAATACTGTAAGTCTCAATGGTGTGTTTTTGTATTTCACAAACTGCTTAATGCCTATTGCATAATACTAATAACTCTGGGGAACAAAATTCTGTGTATCATGGTTACATGTTCTAATTACGTTGGCTATGGCAAAACCAGCTGTTTAAGAATATAAAAGTGATCAGTAACGGTGCTCTTGTTTGGAGTGTTATTTCAACTGTGGCTGGAAATGTTCATTTTTTCTTAGAGAATGTGACCAACTAGCACAATAAGAAGTATTGGGCTGTCTACCCTCACAACACATCCTGTATTTCGTAGTGCATGTTAGTTAAAATTACATTTGCAGTACTTTTGTACTCCTTAGAGTACATCTTTTTGTTTAATTTCGTTTTTATATTGAAACAGTGGAACTTTTGTGTTCATAAAGCATGATCCACTGAGAACAGGACGATATTTTTAGGAGTTGGGTTTCAAAGAGTCCGTGACTCTTCAGGGGAGCGTTGATGTGGTCTTTTAGGAAAATGTTGATGGACGCTGCTTAATCAATAACAAAATGCACATTTATTTGCCTAGGGAGAGGGAGAAGATGCAGGTCACAAGCAGGGTAGGAGAGAAGAATCAGTGTGAGGGGGGAAATTTAAAAGCAACAGCTGTAAAATGTTCTGGCTTGACTAATTAAATACTGCTTGGAAAGCAGTTATGTTTAATATGTAACAGAAACATTTGCTCCTAAAAATGCTTTTGCTGCTGGCTAAAATTCTCCTGGAGGTTTTGTCTCGAGGCCGTTTGTTCATGGTGGGGCTCTGGATCTTGGCCGCTGTCCTACTCGCTTGGACAGTGACTTTCTGTGCACCTAAGTATGTTTATTCTAAGGAAAGTCACCACGATGTTGCACTGTAACAGAGAACTGATAGCAAAATGCAGAATTACGACCTCGCTGAGGAATCAGGTAGAAGATGAATTAATTCCTTTTTTATTTTTTGCAGGGGCAGTCTTCTGATACTGGTGTTTGTGAAAACTGTTAGCTGAATAATGGGCCAGAGTTCAGTTTTTCACCTGATTTCTTTTCTGTTTAGTTGTTGTTATTCCTTCAAGGGCTTCCCTGAGGTCTTAGATATTTCGTTTTATTGCCAGTACAGAGCTATCATGGGCCCTGATAGTCTCCATAGTCCCCTGGAGACTTGGTATACTGGGCACATCTATTGGTAGGGGCTCTCAAATAGCTGGGGTTTGGTGTCTGATCTCCCTGTTTGATCTGTGTTTCTGGTTCTGTACTGTGGGAAGCACCAGCTTCTCATCCAGGTGTGTGTTCCTCTCTATCAGACCTGGTTCCTATAGGTACGTGCATGTGTTTAAATACTACATTAGCTCTGATAATCCTCATCCTCTGCTTTATTCCATTTACAAGATACTCATTCTTGGGGGTTGTTTTTGTACTGTCAGGATGACAAGATTAAGCAGTATCCACTTTGAAAACTGTTTTCATGACGCTTCTTGCAGAACATGGTGGTGTAGATCTGTGTGAATAAATCCCACTCACCTCAGTCATTGCTTTCCCAGTTTCACCCAGTGCATATCCCCCAATACTTCCTGGGGAATTTTGATGCTGGAGGTAGTTTTCTCCTGCTGCTGACAAAGTTGTTGAGAATTCCAGGAAGCCTGACTTCAGAACACCAATTTTTAGCAATAATAGCATTACATATTCCTGGCGATGCCGATTCCATTGCTGCCTTTTGAAGGCACTTTGAAGTCGTGATGAAGTTCAGAGTGTAATATCTTTTGATCTGAAACTGTGGAAGCAACAGTTCCTTTTCCCTCACGCCTTATTTCTTCAGTTAAATCTGAAAGCTAGCAACAGACAAGGTTAGTTGTGATTTTAGTGGGTGTTTTGTAAAAATCCAGTAAGGCCACAGTTTGGGTTTTCGTAAGTTAGAGTTGCACCTTTCTGGTTCTTTTATGATTAGTAAAGGCTTCCAAGAAGTTCTTCCGTTGTTAGAATTAAACCTTTATAAATTCAGCTGTGATGTCAGGCTGTGGAACACATGGTACCTAGAATTACCTCTCCAATTATGTGGGTTTCTCTTCATTTTTCTTTACATATGGGAACAGAAGTGTAGTTACTCAGCATCCCTCTGGTTATGCCTGGCTGTTGTGACAAGCCAGCACGTGGCTCCAGTCTTTACTTCTACTTTTCCCACAGCTCCTTTGTAGAGTTTGAATAAATACGGAGAGTCTTCGGAATTTGGAGGGCTCAGGCTTCATACCCACTGCTTATTTTTAGTAATGAGCATGATTTAGCAGGCTAAATTGATGGAATGCATATATGAGGTTTACGAAGGAAGTAGTGTGTACACTTTCTAGCAGTTTAGGGCCGATAAAAATAACAGTGGTTGGGTGAAAGCAGCGCTGGAGTCTGGTTTCCTGGGGCTTTCATTCATAGCAACTTTCACCCACGTGGGTTCCCTGATGCCTGGCTGCGGGGGAAGGAGGAGCCCTGCACGTATCTCAGACACTTGTTACCTTAAGAAAATGCTTTAGCAGCAAATTACAGCAATGGGTTTTTTTTTTAACGTTAATACGGGGTGCGTAGTGAGTGTTGAGGAACCTGTCAACAGACATTAATAATTTAAAATTGGGTCAGATAATGTATCCTTCTGAACTGGGCTTAATGAGGATGGCTGGGAGCCCTGGGTTACAGGGAAAGGGTATGTTTCAGTCGATGTAGAACGGCGTGTGCTTGTACACACAACGTGTCTTAGGAAACCTGCAGTGTCAGTTATTCTAAGCCTGTGTCAGTTGGTATTGTACGTAAAAAGAGTATATTCTTGGTGCCTGCTCATCTTCAGAATACAGACCAGCAAGGGTACTTGTGCACTGTACGCAATCAGAGGTCATCCACATCTTGCCCTACGGTAGCTCTTTGTTGTAGTTGCTGTTCCCTGCAGACGTGTATTGTGTGGTCCTTGGTTCCTCTTGGATGGCCTTGGCAAGGTGAAGTGTCTCCTTGCCCTCTGGATTACAGAATCACAGAATCACAGAATCTTCTAGGTTGGAAGGGACCTTAAAGATCATCTTGTCCAACCGTCAACCTAACTCTGACAAAAATAGACACCCACACAACAAACAAGAAGCATCACCATCACTAAACCATACCTCCCAGCACTACATCAACCTGTCTTTTGAACACCTCCAGGGATGGGGCCTCAACCACCTCCCTGGGCAGCCCATTCCAATGGCTGAGAACCCTTTCAGTGAAAAAAAATTTCCTAATATCCAGCCTGAACTTCCCCTGGTATAACTTGAGGCCATTTCCTCTCGTCCTGTCGCCTGTGACTTGGGAGAAGAGACCAACCCCCACCTCTCTACAACCTCTGTGATTGTAGGATTGCTGTGACTTGGGGGCTATCAGCCATCCTGAGCAGGAGGAGACTTATTCCTGGGGTGTCTCAAGAATGCTCTTCCCTTCATGTATTGATCTTGGTCATCTTGGCAGTTTCCTTTGAGGTTTGGTCAAGGCTGGTGTCAGCTCTGTGGAATTCTTTCTCATTTGAAAGGAGCTGGAGATTTATAAAACAAACGAACCAATTAAAAAAAAAAATAAATGCAGAAGAGGCCTCATCATCCCCAGGTTGTATTTGCCTGTCAGAAGTGAACTTTCAGGGAAGCTTCCTGCCTCAGGAACACCTTTTTTTGGTCATCTGCTCTGGACTTTGAAGGAGATTTACCCAGCACTGTGTGTTCCATCCCATCTGTCAAGGAGCTGATTGTTCTCCAAGCATCCCGGTAGCCTCTGGTAGCGTTTCCCCCGGTACCGGCTGTTGCACCACCGCTATGTAGGTCACACGGAAGCCTAATCCTGCTCGTTCTGCAGCTTTCTGTCAGCTCTCCCGGTCGTGCTGCTTTTTCCTTCCTTGGTGCCAGGGCTCTGGGCTCACTTGCCTGAGGTGGGGCCGTCTTGGATCTGTAGATGGTTCATCCTGGATGACAGGTCCTTTATTTTTAGGAGCTTTTCCTTCTGGTGGCCTCAGGTTTCTATGCTGATCTTAGCAGTGCATCTGGCGTGGACCAGAGTTTGGCTTCAGACTTTCCTATGGAGGAATTTGTGGCACTGGCTGGAGTCATCCCCTATGGAAAAGTGCATATGGATGCTACAGCCCTAAAGATCTACTGTTGGAAGGTGGCACCTTCCTCCGTGTTTGCCTGTCATTGTCTGTCTTGTGCTGTCTCTTACTGACAAGAGGTACATGCACTGATGTGTTATTTCAAACTAGACGTATTTTGTGAACTAAAATAGCCAATATTTCTCTTGTGATTGAGGTTTGAAGTTTACAAAATGTTTATATTCACCATTGCATCACCCCAGGTGCATTTAGTTCCAATATTAGCAATAATAAAAGCGATGCTAGCAAGAGGGCCAGATCTACAAAGGAACTTAGGTACCTAAAGATCTAGAGCAAAGCTTCTGAAAGTCTCCATGACATCTACCTTTAGGCTTCTAAATAGCTCATAAATCAGTGGGTTCGTCTGGAACTGTGTTCTCTTTGTAGGTGACAACATCCAAAAAGCACGGTGTAGAAACACATGACTTCAGTGTTTTTTAACCAAAGCTCAGTAAAGTGTCGAGCATATTGGCATAAATATAAATTTAAGCATGCTGAAGCTCTGATTGTGTGTCTTGCTGCTTTCTTTCATTTTTCTGGTGGGTGAAGCTATTTGCAGGTTGGATCCCATCTGTGCATCATCTGTCCTTTCACTGTAAGCACTGAGCTGGCTGCGGTTCTGCGGGCCTGAGAGATCTTGGGTTTAGAAGACAATAGGTGGGGGTCAAGCTGCAGTAGCGTGAACATTTTTATTAACTGAGTAGCTCTGGGTTAATTTTAGACTTGTGTTTAAAAATGCCTTTGACTAAATCTACTGAGATAGCCCCTGACGCTGCAACCTGCCAGTTCATGTGTGTGCTGTGCTGCTAGTCTGGACCTAGTGTAGTTGGAGCACTGGGTCCAGTTCTGGGCTCCCCAGTTCAAGG